TGTCTCTCATTCCCTAGATGGCGCTGTTCTGGTGGTGTAGGATTCAGACAATAGATGGCGTGATTAGAGGCGGTGGAGGGGTTCAGTATACAGTAACTTATAAAATTAGGACCTGTGCCTCCTACCAAAGTTGTAAATGCATATAACAAAATACGTCTACATCATTTGAGAAAGCGTAATGCTTTTTACAGAATTACTTTGACTGTTTCTTACCTTACACAGTAATCTGAAGTCTTCCAGTGAATTAAATCCACAAGTTCTCACTATGATGTGTCTCCTAAAACTGAAGCAACTGAAGGTCATATTTTGACCTGACAGGCTGACCCATGACACCAACATAACAACCTTAGTGTTAACCCTTGTGACTGGAAGCAGGTTGACCCCGAAGTCATTATCTGTCATATCTCAAGAGGAGGAGGAGGATTGATGATGACCTGAATGACAATTGTTGACTCTGACCTCACTGTCATGTCTGTTAAGACTCAAGAGAGGGGATGTCAGACCCAGCAAGACCTTGTCAATCTCTTTGATGATGACCTGAGAAGACGAGTGTTCTTGACATGCAAGAAAGTTGACCCTAGCTAACCTCACTGACAGGATTAAATCTGAAATTATCACTGAATGTTGACCTCAGACTACCCTCTCTCTCATAATGATTCTTAAACTTCAAAACAAAAATTATGCAAATGAAATTACAAAAGTTGGGCTGTTTTTAAAAAATTGGGGAGGTTTTAAATTTTTTCTTTTGAATTACCGTATATGAATTGTAGAGGGGATGATTATATAGAAAATCACCCAACCTAATTGTAGGAGGAGGATGCATCCTCCCCATAATCAATGCCCTTAAAATACAGGTACAGAACTTCCCAGACAAGTAGTAGTAACAGTGTAGTATAGGTGTTGATCATTATATCATGGATCAGTTGTACAATGTAAAAAATTAACACCATTTACTGCTATGCGATAGCTATGATTGGTTTGGCACTGGTCGGTGCCTCTGGAACTTTTTTACAAAACCTAATAAATAAGTTCAAAATTATTTTAAAGGACATTTTATTAATTTCCGTATTTAAACCATTGTATTATGAATTTATGTGTGACCCCAGCATCATTATTGTCACATATCTTCAGTTTCTCTTCAATTGGTCGAGTTCTGAGCACCATTCCTTTTCTCCCAGTGGTTTTCAGTGGTGGTGTTTTGCCTTTACTTGGTTTGGAGGCCATAATAATACAATTGGGGAAACATCAAATATGACCAAACCACAGAGTGCACGGCGGGGATGTGGCCACGGCAACAAACAAGCAGGAACTGATGCCTTGCCCAACTGCTGACCCCTCTGCCAGAGCTTGTCCAATTTATGGAGGTTTTCAACTTATAAAAGTCTGACTTAAGGGTTTTACTGTATTGTGCACAAATAAATTGAAAATTTGTATTGGCAGATATAAAAAATGCCCATTACTTAAGCATGCTAGATAATGAAGTGCCAGATGCTAAGTACTTTTACTCTAATGTAGTAATGGTAGTGTACTGATCTTTCCACTTTAACTTCAGCTTTCATGGACAAATCAAACAATCAAAGAGCACGCCTTGTCATGACATACATGAGCCAATCAGAGTGTGTTTTGCCAGTCAGAGTGCATGCTGCCAGGACCCTAGCGGATGTCTAACTGGTCCGGGCTAAACAGACTAATCAGAGAGTGCATTCTGCCAGGCTACCCATGCCTGAGTTGCAGCTCAGGTACTTAAGGAGCTAGCCTGGGGCAAAAATCTCACTACAATGGGAGCGTTATATCAAAATTCTCATTACTATAACTATTATGAACATAAATCAAACACAACCAAAGAATGTTCACACAAACAACTCGAGATATGCTCAATGTGTAGAAGAGTAACATATCTTCAGGGAAGGTAGGAGCCCAAACAAAGCTTGTATAAACTGCTAGAACCATACAGAGCCAGGATATAAGACCCACAGAACTGTGGCAATGGCACATAAAAAAAAAAATGTCAAAGAAAAACTGAAGAAAGGGAAACAGTAGGATGAAAACAGTGGAAGATGTTTCGCAACCCCAGAATATCACCAAAATAGTCCCAAGCAAAGCGTGAGACTACAAATTGCTCATCTGCCTCCTCTTTTCTCACCTAGATGAACAAAATCCCAAAAGATTAATGGGCTTCCACTAATGAGTTCCCCCAAAACCCATCATCTGGAACTCTGGTCTAAGTATCACATCTAACTGATCACACATCACCGACAATGGCAGAGGAAACACACGAGGAGGTATGGTGGATCAACCACCAGCTGTAATAGTAACCCCAATACCAGACGAAGCAAGTGATATGAATGAAGACCAGGCACAAACGATCCACCAAGATACCCCAAGTACATCAGAGACAGTGACCCAAACCTCTATCTCAAGGGAAGCAGGCACAGTAAGGAAAACTATATCAACAGCAAAAATGAAGACTAAAAGTGAGAAAACAGAACACATTCCTGAATGTGTGGAAAATTGTGGGTTGCAGATTCACTGGTGTGATAAAGTACTGTAGACTCATGGGTTCAAAACCATGTCCAGCACAGTACAAGCCTTTGGCAAACAAGAACTGAAAGGGACCTGCTCAAATAATAAGTACTGTGGATGATTCCCCAATAAATAAAAGAATTAAAATTAGAAAACACAACTTCAAAATGGATGAAGGAAAATCCAGCAAATTCGTAATGGATTAATCATAGAGAAGAGATCCTCATCCATGTAACAATTGAAAT